TGTCAGGTGGATTGGGGGGGGGTAAAGGGAGTGTTATTTGGGGGATCCCTGGGGGGGGGGCAGGGGTGCGCAGTGGGTGAGGTCTGCGCGCGCAGCGCGGGGGGTGTCCTCTCTTTCTGCGGCCAGGAGTTGCATTGCTGAGGTTGCACACAAATGCACGAAGTCCAGGCGCTTACTTAATCCGGGGCAGGCAGCCCCACCAGTAAAGGCCCTGGTGCAAAGGGCAGTGTGTGGTGGGGGGAGGGAGAGGTTCATACACTCAAACCAGCTCTGCTCGGTCCTTAGGGATGGTGCTGGTCGGTAGCACTGAAAGGGAGGAGAGATGAGCACTTGTTTGGGAGCTTAAGTGGTGTTACTTTTCTGGTCTCATTGGGCCAGTGTGCTGTGCCTTGAGGTTGTGACTGGGCTTCAGACAAAAGCATAATACAGAAGGTTCAACACAAATGTCAGTTCTGGCCATAACTGAATTTCCTGCGTCTTCTGTGCTAAACAGGCCCAGGTTATGTCTACTCTGCACACCTTTTAGTGACACCACTGTGCCCCTAAAAGGTGCACAGTGTAGCTGCTCTTTGTTGGCAGGAGAGAGCTCTCCTGCCAACAAAAAAATGTCACCCCCAATGAGACCAGTACCTTTGTCAGCAGTAGAGCTCCCACAGACAAAGCGCACTTCGCACCAGTGCTTTTTGCTGGTAAAACTTTTGTTGTTTGGGATAGGGGGGAGGGGGTTCCACACCCCCTGAACAACCAGCATTTTACTGACGAAAGTCCAGCGTAGACCAAGCCCCATCATGTCTGTGAAATGCTTCTTTAATCCTCCCTAGTCTACCTAACTGCTTCTCTTTCTTTGTTTAATAATGTGGCATTTCAGTTTTGACTCCAGAATATAAGGCCTGGTTTTTCCCACGCCACAAACCCAGGCTAATTTTTTTTTGTTTTTTGTTTTCTGCTACTGCTTTAGATAGAAGTGTGTACCTTGATGTAGGGAGGTCAGTCCTGGGCCTACCAGTTCCAACTCTGTATATTCCAGATGTGCTGTCCTGTGCAAAATTAAAATGACCATGAATTTGATCTCTTCTAGCTAGTTGCACTCAGAACTTGTCAATGCTGTTTCTAGGCACAGTGTATTGATATCTTTAACCTGATAGCACAATTCAGTAATCTTCTGACTATAATGAAGATATTGTAGTTGCTGGCCTTGTCCTCCCCACAGGGATAGGAGAATAGCATGGAAAGGGATATGGGAGAAGTAGCTGTCTTTTTGTCTTATCGCAAAATTTATTTGGACTAACAAAATATGCATTTTGATGACTTTCTGGACTGTTGCATTAATCTTGTTTTCTACTTAAAGTACTGGGTATTCCAGAAGAGCAATCTAAAACTGTCTGTAACCATGAGTACCTGGACAAGAGCCGCCGCCTCTAAAACATGTTCTTGCTTGTAGCCAAACCTGTCTCTACAGTTTTGCAAGTCCAAATAAGCTGCCAAGCAGAAATCAAAACTGTACAGGCTATGCTGGAGTAGTACCCTGCTTGTTAAAGTTAAGTGGCATCTTTCCCCACACCTTACTAGACGCATGTGATTCTTCATGTAGTGCTTTTGGTGCACTATCCTTTCACTTTGGGTGACTTAATCCAAAGTGAGAGTGATGTCTGGTCTCCACCAGACCAGCATGTGAAGCCCCTTTCTCAAAGTAGCTTTGCTCTTTTGGATCAGGGGGCCTGAGGTATATGACCAACTTTTGCTGGAACATCTATGTCCGTCACAGATCGCATTTCATCATACCCCTTACTGACGTAGCTATTCCAGCAAAAGTTTTGTAGCGTAAAGTTCCTCCACTTGCTACTGCTAGGGTTACCATATTTCAGGTTCCCAAAAAGAGGACCCAGGTTGGGAGGCAGGAAAGCTGGGGGATACTCACTGGAGGCGGGGGACAGTGTTACTCCCTGTCATGGTGGCAGGGCAGCTGAAGCCCTTTGGGGACTGCTCCCCCAGGACTGGGGGTGAGGGGCTGGATGGGTGGGATCCAGCAGCTGTGGCTTGCAGAGGAATGGACCAATCAGATGCAGGAGAGAGACCAGTTGGCGTTCTTTTTGGGCTGCAGCTTGTTCTGCTCTGCAAACCCGTCGTCCTCCTCTCCTCTCCCACTTCATGTTTGAAAACCCCGGAGAGAAAAAGCAGGCTCAAAATAGAGGTTGTCCGGTAACCCCAGACATATGGTAACCCTAGTTTCTGCTGCATCCACCACCACATCAGAACAAAAAACTTTTCTCGTTCTTCTAGCAAAGCAAGCATGTTTTCCAATTTATTTCTGTAGGTCCTGATGGGTGAGTTAGAGAACCTTGGCTTGAGTGTTGGGTATCCAACTTACGCTTTTGAGTAGGGATCATCCTACATTCAGGCATCCTTCATAATCACTAAATAACCTCTAAAAAGACTGATCTTTCCAATAAATAGAGTATTTTGTTCTAAATTCTGCTTCCATTCTGCTCTTTCTTATTGGAATAGTCCAGCTGCAAGGCAAAAGGATAATTTTGCACTTCAGTTGCACCTTTATCCAAACATCTTAACCTTTTATGAAGGTGCATAAGTGGCTTTCTTCATCTGTAAAATGGGAATGAGGCATAGAGGCAAAGAAACTTACTGGAGCAAGTCAGTAGCACAAAATAGAACTGAGTCCTTGCTATGAATCTCTTGCCCAATCCATGCTGTTTTTCAAGACAGTATGAAGATAGTAATTACAGAGCTAGCATGTGTTGTGCTCTGTGGCTCAAACTATTTATCATGAACATTTTTCTTTTTAACAAATTATGCTGTGGACTCGAATAACAATGCTGTGATGTAATTTCTGATGGTGACAACATGAAGATTATGGAGTTGTATATAACTGCTACTCTTACGTTTGTACCTCTTGGCTTGATTTCCATGTGACAACTTTTTTACTAACATCTTGCTATAAGACTGTGCTGTCAAAACTTCCTGCTTACTTATATAGAGCGGGAAATGGTGGTGACGCTTTCATCTAGTAACACTAAGCATCCCTCTTGCTGAAAACCACATCGAAGTGCAACTTTCTGTGACCAGGTACAAATGAGTTTCAGCAAACTGTATTGGTAGAGCCTGGAAACTGAACAAGTTCTGGTAATGGTTAAATGCAGAGGCACTTGGAGACTCTGTAATGGCTGCAATTACCTAAAGTCAAAGCTATCTGGTAGCATATCATGTGTTAGGGGCAAGAGCATAGTGAAGGGAGGTGACGTTATGGAGAGGCTAAAGAAAAACATGTCCAGTAGTGGGAGCAGGTCTTACTCACTCCCCCCATTTTCTTTAGAGAATCTGGGGGCTGACTAGTACATACAAGGTCTAGCAAGGAAGCTTGAAAAAAGAACAGAAGTACTTGTGGCACCTTAGAGACTAACAAATTTATTAGAGCATAAGCTTTCGTGGACTACAGCCCACTTCTTCGGTCCACATATCTATTCAAGTGACATCATCATA